AGTCATTCTAATGAAAATGTCACTTGCCTACTGCAGAAAAAAGAATTTTGTTACCACAGAAAACCCCGTGACCGGTGCGAATATTGTTTTTACTTCTCTCAGTGTACTAAAAGCGCAGTAGTCGCTTGATATTAAATTGGTTGTGACCAAATCCGGAAAACGAGACAATTTCATTTGTTTTGCATCACAATTTTAATCAGTGGATACAATTCTTGCGGTAATTGAACCAATGCCGTAGCTGCTTGCGATAGCTAATTTCAGTTTCAATTAGAACAGGTCAGGCTGTATTATAACGCGGACTGTACCATCGTTGCAATTTCATTTGTTTGGGACGTGTTCCGCAAACCCTACTCCATTCCGCTTTACATATTTTTCCTATTTTTAACTGCGATCTTGCATAATTCCGTCGGCAAATGTTGACTATTTCTGCATGCATATATACTACAGCGGAGATGCTTCTGTTTTTAGAATGTCACTGCCACGGGCGATAAGCGTCGTTTCGCATCCTCGACTGCATTGCGGTGTTGCCGATTTACCGTATTCTGGAAATTGTTATTGTTTAGAGAAAGTTTATTCTCCCTCTCGCGTTGGGTGCTGGGTCGTTTGACGATGGCGCCGCGGGGCAGTCTATGGAGTAGTATTTACAATTCTCTATTCTGTGCGACTTCGGAACAGACACCACAATCAACACAAGTGCACGCGCCTTCCGCTTTCCGGTGCGTGCGATACAAAGCCACTGCAAACTCTGTAAATGCAAATGCAATTTTTGACGATGTGAGCAAACAAGTACACGATCTGGCAACATTGGGGACGCTATCTAAGGAACATAAATATATACAGAGATTTTCAGTGCAAAATATGTATATTACATGCGCTTCACATATCGCGTATGAGCACTGATACTAGCACAATGTTTGTGTATGCATTTAAATACCTCGCTATTCTGATATGCATGCAATATTGGGATATGGTAGGAAAATTTAGCGTAGGAAGGGTCGCCATTAGCAAGATAGGAACAGTTGCGGAAACATTAAAAGGTCGCTTCTTTATTTTTACAGTCATCTACTTGATGTTTTGTGGTATATGCAGTAACAAGAAGTATTGTTGATGTTATAACCATCGGCAATTGTGCAAAAAGTTATTAAAGTTAAGGTAATAATAACATTATGTTGAATCCTTGCAAAATAGCATCACCTATTAGTACTACAAAATATATGGTTAGCAATAGTCGTGAGAGCTCTTAATATGTTATGACAAAAACTAAATACAGAGAAAATGAAGAAGAAAAATGTCAACAACAATTGCTTAAGTGATATTTGTCGTTAAATTTTCCCCTTGAAGAATAAACAACATTAAACCTTCTTATTATGTATTAATTATTGTGTCAAAAAAGTTGTGGCTTAACGTACCTATAACTTGTTATATGCTCTCTGCATCTCTAGAATGTGTTATTAAGACTTCATTTAATTCAAGTTTCGATTCAACTCCAAATATGATAGAAGTCCTGATTGATGTGATATGAAGTTCTGGTGTTATCTCAGTAAATACACCAACATATTGATTTTAAAATCAACCATGCGCAAAGAAACAAATAGCAACACAAGTCGCAAAGTCTGTGGTAGTAGTAGTGTATTGGATATATCCTTATGGGCTGAAAATTAGAGTTTATAGACGAGGTATCGATTTTTTAATTATTATTATGTCAGCCAGAAAATTTGCAAATACAACCAATTCATTTTGTATTAACCACGAAATAACTTTTCGTCTGTAAAATAACTAAACTATACACCGATCTAGCGTGCGGGAAGCGTCACTTTACCACGTCAGTCTCGTTTCCCACGGATCCGACTCACTTCGGACACTTGGGATTGGGAGCAATCGGATGTTTTCGAAGATATTTCCCACACCTTGAATTGTGACGTTTGTGAATTCTGACGGTCATGTCAGTGAACGTATTTGTGTCGTTTTGCGAAAAATTAACCCAAAAACTAACGGTCTTAGAAAAAGTATAGTATGCAACACGTTCGGTAAACTTTTTAAGTCACTCGTTTATTAAACACTCGCTTCGCTCGTGTCAAATAAACTGATGAGTCAAATGCCGTTTACCGCTCTTGTTGCATAATATACTATTAGATTTCTATAATGCATGTAGGTAATACATTTGTAACATAAAATTTTTAGTTGTATCCAATGAAGATACATGTATGTATGTGACTATGGTATGCATGCATGGATATGCACATCCTCGAACTATAAACCACATGAAACAGTGAAATGCTGAAACGTGACGTGATGAGGCGAATTTAGACAAAAAAAAAGCTGCCAATAATTATGAAAAATTAATCATTTTTCAGATTTTCATCATGTTTCAACCATAACCTAACGAATAATAAAAATCTAAGTTTTTAACTCGTAATTGTGATGTCAGAAAACCTTAGACTGCCAATTTTTATTATTATACATTTGCATGAGGTAACTTGAGCTCAATCCAAATATTTTGGTGCCTAGTACCTCCAGTTTAGAGATTACCCATTACTTTCTTTTTGAATCAGCCTGCATATCAGATGTTTCGATTTGTACCGTCACTTATAACTTATACAGTTTTTTTTGTATTTAAAGTGTACGTGGCTTCGACAGATTCATAAATTTTCTATCGAATTCCAGCAGTCGGACGTGGATAATTGTTTTCCTCATTTTAAGTTACGGAAATTAATTTAGTCCTTTAAAAGAATAACTTCGTTACTTATGCTTATATTCTTTCTTTCTTTTCTCTCACAGACTGTGTTTTTTAAATGCGGGCATACCTTGTTACCGGAACAATTTCGCGAACAACTATGGCCCGAGTATCCCCTTGAAATTACACTGATAACACGAAATGGCCGCCGCGAGATGCCTGGAAATTTCCCTAAACTAGCTTATTTCCGACTGCGAGCCCAGACTTGTTCCGCAGTTTCTCGCCCGGAAAGGCATAATAAGGGTTCATGTAAATGAATGAGGTGGAATGAAAAACTCAAAGGGAGGGGGTGTTAAATTTCTTTGCCATCACGTTTTAGGAAATCTATATTCACCAGTCCTGTTTGGATGTAGGGGCTTACGTAAGAAAATGAGCTCGGAATTCATTGGGAAATTTATCTGGTTCCATTAGGAAGATTTGTGCCTGAGTACAATATTGGTTTTGAAAAATTATGAACTAAATACTAATCGATATTGAATTAATATTTGGAAATTGAGATTATGCGACCTTATTTCTATTTTAATGTGTTTACTTGAACAAAGAGTTTAGTGCGGACACAGAATGATGACGTTATATCCAAAGGGGTCCAGAGAAAAAGTCATTTTCAAAACTTTGCAGACCAGCTATAAGTTCCGCTCTCGTGGAAATTATTAATGAAAATCCGGTCGTATCCCCAATATTGGAATAAATTATTTGGAATAAAAGTTATGTTTTAGAAAACTTTCTTACCATAGTTAGTACTTCAAATTTTTGTCACCTATCGAAGGATCATATTTCCTAAATAATTTTTATTTATTTCTTAAATAATTTCTCCAAAGTTTTGGAGGCCCTCAATATGCAGCAATTGTGGAATGTGATACTGTGTGCGTTAACGTTGCAATCGGTTTAAAGGGAAAACATTTTAACATGAGCGCTATCAATACTTATAGCGTTTTGGAAATAAAGTATTAAAAAAAAGAGAAATTTTGATTCTATATAATACTTGAATACGCGGATAAGGTTTACATAAGTTTTGTCTATCATTAATATGGACAGAATTAACCTCAGATTATTTTATAAAGTTATGAAATCAATCGTCTCAAAAATGTTTGTGTTCTCATTCGTTTTACAGCGAATTGTCTGTTCTGCTTCATGCGAACGGCACAATAAAGGAGAAAATTTTAATTTTCGCAACTCGAGTTAACGATTTTAATAACCTCCGACAGCGATACGCTTAGCGTTACTTTTCCCTGTTTTATGTTTTCACAAACGCTCCTTTGTCTGGGCAGTTATAAAGTTTACGTTTTGCGAGAACACATTTTATAAGTGCGAAACCCTTTCTTGAATTGGGTATGTATTTGAACAAACGCTTCGTAACTACTGGACTTACTCGGTAGGTAGTTAGAGTGTAGATTTTTGACATTATAATTCCGAAAACTCGAAAAATTGTCCCCGAAATAAAGCTGTTACAAATATGATTTAAGCCATTCTGTAGAATCTCAAATATTCATAATCCTGACCAGTTTGCTTTGAAATAACATGACATTATTCAATGGAAAACTTTATTGGAGTATTGCCAATGTTTTTCAATAATATTAGCATCAGGCAGCATTTGCAGAGTATGGTTTGGTCTAATCAAAAACGATAACCCCTTTTATAAGCATTTTACAGATGGAATTTGGAATTTTGAAGGGTAGCAAGTGTAAAATTAACTCCTTCTCCAAACTATTTGATTGGTAAATTGTAAAATGTGCATTGGCTCCAAGATATGTTTTTAAATGTTAATTTTCAAAAGTTATAGTGACTATATACAGGGTGTACAACCGGCCAGCTCAGCGATTTATGAAAAACTGCAGCTAGTGAAAATTTGAAAATTTATTATGTCATAATAACGTCGAAAAAATATTTTCAAGATGGTGGCACTTAGTTATATACCGGAAATGGCTGCCAACTTACTTTTTGTAACTAGAACATTCTATATGTTATTGCACTGTTTTTGATCAATTGTGCTATATTAATTAATGAAAATAAAAAATGATCAAATTCAGAGATATTCGGATTAGGATTAGGTGATCGATGGTTAGGCAGTCAAAAATTAGAATAGATTATTATTTTGTTTAGATATTTATTCCCGTGTCCAAACTTGGATCCGTTTTAAAGAAACACTGAGTAAAAAAAATTTACAACAAAAACTTCTTCTTCTTTCTTCTATGGTAGGCCTATGGCCTGTTCCTTCATGGGTCGCCTCCCAACCTGGATTGAGATCGTCGTTCCATCTTTTTCTCGGTCATCCCACGCTCCGTCTTCCGTCAGGTGATTTGTCTCTAACGATTTTTACTAGTCTGCCATCTTGCATACGGTTAATATGGTAATTCCACTGTCTTTTTCTTTGGAGCACCCAGTCGTTCACGTTGTCCACTCCGCACGATTGTCTGATGTTTTCGTTTCTTTCTCTGTCTAGCAGTGTTTTTGCTGAGATGCGGCGGAGAATCTTCATTTCCGTAGTCTCCAGAAGTCGACTAGTTTTTGCGGTATCTGATCTTGTCTCTGCCGTGTAGGTCATGATCGGTCTGATCGTTGTTTTGCAGACTCGTACTTCTGTATGTTTTTTCAGATGTTTGTTTCGCCAAATTACATCGTTTAAGCAGCCTGCCACTTTATTGGCTTTTGCTACCTGTTGCCTCACTTCGTCCACCACATTTACATAACTGGTAATGTCAATACCCAGATATTTAAACTTCATCTCTTGTTGAATTACTTGCCCGTCCACTTCCAGTTTACATCTGAGCGGCTCTTTTGATGTGGTCATACATTTCGTTTTTTGGGCTGAGATAGTCATGTTAAATTGCTTGCCTGTGCGGTTGAAGATGTTTAAAAGTCTCTGCAGATCGTCTTCGTTCTCTGCGCATATCATTGCATCGTCTGCATAGCAGATAATTGTCACTTCATCACTACCCATTCTGTACCCTCTACCCAAACGAACTTTTTTTATCACTTCATCCATAATTATATTAAATAACAACCCACTAAGAGTTAGTTAACTTGTTATTAATACGAGCTTGGATGTTATTGTTCAACTATATATTTTCTATCGTCTGGACAATATTTATGGGTATATTTCTGTTATACAATAAATGTATTACATCTTCAAGTTACAAAAACCTTAATTATTAAAATACAATTTTCCTTTTCTTGAATTATTTTTATCTAATCGTTTGACTGTTGAACCCTTTGTCTACCATATGAAGTGGTTTTGTGTTCCTTAATCTGCTCAAAAACATTTAGGAATGAGGCTACTAGGGTCTTAATTAAAGCTAGGCCTTTTTTCTGAGTAAAAATATTTCACAGAACAAAACAAAAAATGCACGTCTATGAAACCAATTGAAATGCCGTTTAATATAGCCATTATATTTTTAATTTAATGTACCGACAAACATACCAGGGGAGTTAAATATTTTGCCACTAAATTATGGCAATGGTCGAATGTAATACGGTCATTTTTAAAGGTTTTTAGTTGAATATAATCTGAGTTTTACTGCGGCACAACATGGAGCGGCGGGTTCGCGAGCAGGTAGTTTTTTATCCAATACCAAAATCTTTGAGAATGGCTAAGTTAATTTATTGTTGTTTTTTTTTTTGAAAATTTTCGAGGCAATTTTAAACTTGTTTGGCGCGCGGATTTTCGCCTAAATTATGTAGTTGGTTGAGTTTTGTAATAACTTTATTTATTTGTGGATTATGGGACGTGGCCACGCGAGAAGGTGCGTCACGGATACGCTGGGGATTTCGAGCTTTCATAGTGAGGGAAATATCTGATAGATGCATTAGTATTTATTGGTTCCATAAAATACTCACAAAGGGTGTAGAACATGTCATTACTTTTATAGGTACAAAGGAAATTCATCACAGATGTTTAGTGTTTCATTTAAAGACGCATAAACATGCCACGAGGAATCATTACTTACCCTGTCATTAATATAGGGACAGTTTCAACATGTATAATATTTTTCCAAAATAAGATTTAAGATATTTTTTAAGTTTTTTAATTACAACAGTGACTTTATTCACACTTCCACAGATCACATGGATTTTTTTTGAATATAGATAAACCTCTTTCATATTGTTTTAATGTACTATTCCACAGATCAGATATAATTTTTTTGAATACCTATATTCAACCTCTTTCATATTTTTTTTAATTTGATATTAATATTATTATTACTTTCTCTACTATCGGTTTCGTGTCGAATTACTGCTTTTATTATCTAAAGAATTCGTTATTTTTAATCGAATAGGTGATACAGTTAACGGTTGTGGGGTGAAGATCATCAAGCAGCGCATTTTTGAGATAAACGCACAAACACCAAATTTTGGGAAAAAAAAGAGAAAAGTAGAGGCTCTCGCGCGTTGCTCGTCAAACCAACATCACGTACCGGTTTTCGGAAGTGAAGAAAAATTTTTTTCGACACTCTGCAAAAGCAAGTCGTTCAAAAAAATAAAAGAAAAATTTGAAATATAGACCACTAGACAATCCAAATAATGCGCTATTAAGGTAAATTAATCAGATATACTCTATTTGTTAATATGTTTTCTCTGTATCCCGTAGAACAATTGTGACCAATTGTGAGCAACTGTTAGATGTACAATATGTTATATAAATACTTTACCCGAATATGATAGAGTGCCACCTGGTAATGGACATAAGCATTCCATGCCGTCAGAACCCTCTTAACATCTAGGTACTTAGCAAAAACTCTAACCAAATACCTATATCCCAAGTATGCGCCTTTGAATCAAGCCTCTTATCCAACTTGAAACCAAGAAAGGATATTGATACTTCTGCGATTAATTTTATGATGTGAAGTGAAATTCGTTGTCATATTTCTTTCATGAGCTTTACTTTTCGCATATTCTTAGAAAGATAATTTTTTTACCAGCGGCTTTAAAAAGCCAAAAATAAACCAAAATAACAAATTTTCGCTTGCTAAATGAAGCAACCAAAGACCAAAGACCTTTAATTATCTCACACCGACAAAATAAAGCAAAAAAAAAGAACTGTTTGTCTGCATCCTTTTTTGACTCTCGGCCCTCGATATCGTAAATTAACCAATGAGACGCTCAGACACCCACTTCGGAAAATTAAATCTGAAGGATCCGTCTCGATTAATTTATTATAGTTATTATTCAATGGAGGCTGCAGCGTACTGTAATTATTATAAATAAATCGTTCGCCATTAAACTTAAAGTACGTTTGCGGGGATATAGTGGCTGCGAATCGATGCGTTTTCAGTGGCGCCGCGTTAGTTTTTATACGGAGGGGTCAGCTATCGATTTGAGCTATCGCGATGAGCCAACCAAAATCATAGCCTAAACACAACCAAAACTTATAAATATACTGTTAATGCGTTAAATCATTATATTTATATAATAGGATTCATAATTGATAGATTTAGTTAATTTCGAAGTTCATGTTAGATTTAGCAAATTTCATTTTACATCGACGCGAAACGATTTCAAATTATTAGATCAAAACAAGAAGATAAATTGCAATTAATATTAACTTAATGTGGCTTAATTGGCAGTGTAATTAAACTTTCTAAACGATATGTGTTTTACATGGTTATGCATGGTTCGTTATGAAAGTAAATAACTATGAATAAATTATAAATTATTATTTTCAATATCTTATTAATTAAATTAATGTTTGATTGTATGTAACGGATGTAATACCCGATCATATTTTGTTCGGTCGAATTAGGATACAAAGAAAATTTTTTGTAATCGGATCAAACAGGACGAAGGACCGAACCGAACATCTCTCTGTCAGTGTTGCCAAATATCCAGTAACCATTTTAGTCAAATGCGTAATTCTTGATGATTTTGAGTAATAAGTTTAAAAACGTATTTACTATTTTTGTATATAATACCTATAACCTTTTTATTTATGAACTGCTACCGTCTCAACGCATTTGAATTAATCGACGGTTATTAGGTTGGAGAGAAAACAAGTATTTTGGCCATTTGCACCTCGACCTTGAGATTGTTTCATTAAATTATATGCTGTCATGTCAATGACACCTATACGAAGCTTGCTTTGCAAAAGCTTACTAAATTACACTATACAAATTCAAGGTTCAAGAACATTCAAAAACCCTTTTTAAATTTTGATTTCGTTTGATTATTATATGATTGATTGATAATGCGGAATTACGAATTTTACGAGTGTTTCAGTGTTGAAACTAAAACAATTACAGTTACTAAGAAACGGTGATCTGTTTGTCGGAAACGTAGTGTAATTAAATCAAATGTAAGAGACGGAAGTTCAAAGTTCTTTTGGTTTCGGCAATATCCTACATCATTCAAAAAGTCTGCTTGTTCTCATTTTGTTATATACTTTTTTTTATATAAATAAATTAATGTAAACAGGTACACGTTTGACATGGCCTTTTTTTCTTTTATTTTCTGGTTTCCCTCTTCTTTTGTATTGCTTGTGCTTTAGTTGTATATTGTATGTACTTAATTAACTATCAGTTAGGAAAATAATTAATATACGGCAATTGTAGTTTAAGTAAGGAAGTGTAACTTCAAATTCGCTTTTTGTGATGTGTTATTTTAATGTACTACAACATAATCACTACAATTAGGATATCACTTAGCTTTTTTGTACTTTGTGCTAAAAAGTAAGGTAAAATAAATTGGGACATTGAGATGGGATGTTACGCCCGCCTATGCACCTGTATCTCCCAACGCAATCTTACAAAGCATAATTGAACTTCTTCGCTGACATTTTCTATTAGCCGCCCATGCAAATGTATATTATTCCATTCCGTTCATTATCTTAAAATTAATATTTATACCCCATTTTAAAAAATAAACAACCACTTAGGCCGGTATAAATACAAATCCAAGTACCACTTTACATCCGGTGAGAAAATTTATTTAAAATAAACTGCGATGCGAGAGCGGCGGCGCAAGTCGCCATTGAAGAGTGACCGGTTTTTGATCCTTTGGCATCGAGTCACAGCTGAGTACTTTTCGAATTTTAGTGGAATTCGGTTGCGCATTGTAAACTGACTGTGGGCTGACCAAGTACGATACTAGTCTTGAACCGTTCACAAGCCAAATAAAAAACGAATTGCTTCTAATTTAACACACTGTACATCTACAAGCCTTTCTAGTAAGTGTAGTTCGAAAAAAATATTTTACTTATATTATTGCTCTGGAATCGAGTCACAGCTGAATACTTCGAATTTTAGTGGAATTGAATTGCTCTTTGTAAACTGTAGTAACTATAGACCAGGGCTTCTTAAACTTTTTCATATAGCGACCCCCTTCAAGCTTAGGAAATTTTAATTTATATATATATATATATATATATATATATATATATATATATATATATATATATATATATATATATATGATGACACTATATTCCGGGATATCATCCGTTCGCTCGTTGAACTCCGACTGGAATCCTGCATCCGACTGGAATCCTGCAAATCTTGCATCCGACTGGAATCCTGCAGACGTTTCGCCAAAATCTCACTTGGCATCTTCAATGCTCGCGCTCCGAAAACACTTCGAACACTCGGAGCGCGAGCATTGAAGATGCCAAGTGAGATTTTGGCGAAACGTCTGCAGGATTCCAGTCGGATGCAAGATTTGCAGGATTCCAGTCGGATGCAGGATTCCAGTCGGAGTTCAACGAGCGAACGGATGATATCCCGGAATATAGTGTCATCACATTTTTCCATCCGTGAATCAATACGTGAGAATATATATATATATATATATATATATATATATATATATATATATATATATATATATATATATATATATATATATATATATATATATATATATATATATATATATTTATTCAATAGAAAAAATAAACTTTTGTAACAATTTTTTTAATAAAAACATATTATTAACATCAAGCAATATTAATGTGACGGATGTGATTGTTTATTTTTACACAAATAATTAAATCTAGGC